AACGAAAGCTTCATTTGGACACTTCAATGTTCATTTTATGTATTACCACCCATTCAATGATGTACAAATAATCATGAATCTTTATTTTTCAGCTTTAGTAAGGAACGAGATGTTAAACTTGAATATTTAAACAATTAATAGTATTAAAATGTATTACAAACCCTTCGGGTTATGGAATGTCAAACCATTAAAACATTAAATTATACAATGATTAAATAGAAAGCTTTAATAAGTTCTATACTGTCTAAATAATTTAAGTTTTATAAAAGAAATTCAAAATGTCAATTTGGCCACAGCTACATTGTGATACATAACAAGCTAGAAAATGCAGACTAACAAATGGCGCAGTAACCAATTGACAAATGTCACTGGTGCCTAATTTCTTAAGGAGCTATATTAGTGGGGATGAAAATAGTCGTTACTCATTTCTTCATTTTAAAAGTATTACTAATGATCTATTTATCATTTGAAAGACTCAACATGAATAAATAGCTACTGTGGTTTTTTGAGGGAAAGATGATCCTAAGTTACTACTCAGTAATGAAACACACCCTCTGCTTTCTAGGCACTTCTAACTGGTTTTCTACTGTCTGGCCTCTGATTATAGTCTCTTTTAAACACAGTGCCAGATTAATCTTCCTGAAGCACAAGTTGTAGACAGTCTTGAAACTCTCTGGCAAACATTCCAGATGCTTCACTATCTGGTACACTCACTCACCCTTCCAGCCCTACATTTCCCTAGCCCTCTTAATAGCTTTTCCTTTCCATGTACTGCCACGTGGAGCAAGTTATGCTAATGGCTTATTAGTTTAACTTTCAGGAACCTCTTTCTAAAAAATGGTCCAAAAAATAAAAACAGCATAGTTATAATTGCGAAAAAGTAGAATGGCTAATAGAAAACTGGTTACTTAAATATTACAGGCAGACACTGTTACATTGTTTAAGAATCATTTATAACAACATGAAAAATGCTTATGTCATGATGATGAGTTTTATAAGTTCAAAGGTATGGATGTAGTACAACCCTAACAAAGTAAAATATGTATAGAAAAAGCCTGGGCAAGACATTCAGTAAAATGTTAATGAGTTCTCTTTGGGTGGTAAGGATATAAATTTTTCTTGCTGTTCTGCTTATACAATTTTCAGTTTTGTTTAAAAAAAAAATCCTTCAAGATACAATCTAAAAGAAACTTCTACTCAAAAGAACTCCCAAGAAATTTTGCTTACCCTTGTTTTATATGTCTTATCTTGTTTCACAATATTCTTACTTTTTATATTTGTATAATATATACTATATTTTCTAACAGCATTTGCCACAGCTGATCACCATCCCCCTTGCATCATTTTCTTCAGTTAGTGCAGCTTACCCTAGCTAGCTCCAGCCCCACAAAACACCTTTAATGTGCTTTTCTTCTTACGTAATCACCCAGTCCTGCTCAGGAAGCTTTACTGGTTCCTACTCATTATCTCAGTTCAGGCCTACCTCCTTTCCTTTCTTTTTTCTCTCATCCACTTTCATAGCTTTAAATACCATCAATACACCGATGGCTATCAAATTTATATCTGTGTGGACATCTACCCTTAACCCCAGACTCACATATCCACATGGATGTCCACATCTCAACCATCACCAATCAAACCCGTTTTATCTGCAATCATTCCCATTTAAATTATTAGGAACTCCATCCTTCCAACTGCTCAGGCAAAAAATTTAGGAGTGAACTGATTATTGGAAAAATCTCTTATCAATTCAATCCATTGAATTGGCCTGTAGTCATTATCTTCAGCTGGCCCTGTAGTCATTATCTTCAAAATCTATGCAGAATCCAACCATTTCTCATTAATTCCATCATTACACTTGCTCATATATCTACTTACTATCTCTCACCTGGAATGAATGCAAAAGCCTCCTAATAGGTTCACATCCATCCTCAGCCTCAAAATCTCCACTCGCAGCAAACATGATATTCCTCAATATTATCATTCCTCCCCTCCAATGGAGTTCCAGTCTTTCTTCAGAGTACGTGTTTTTAAAACGTATCCTTGAAGGCCCTACAGGATATACTCCCCTGCTACTTCCCTGACCTCTTCTCCCATTACATGCTTCTCTCTTCCTAAATCCAAGCCAGTTACGCTGGCTTCCAGACTATTATTCATGTTTCAGGCTTTCTTCAGGCTTTGACCTCAGTCAAGGCACCAAGGTGGCATAGTGGGTTATGTATTGGACTGCTAACCTCAAAGGGTAGCAGTTTAAAAACACCAGGTGTTCTGAGGAAGAAAGATGAGGCTTTCTCTTTCCATAAAGAGTTCTAGCCTGGAAACCCAGAGGGTAAATTCAACTCTGTCCTATAGGGTTGTGATCTGAGTCAGAATTAAAGCAGTGGCAGTGAAGTGGGCCTTTTTGTTGTTGTTATTTTGTCTCACTTAGAACATTCTTCTAATAGTTGCATCTCTCTCATTTACTCACTGGATCAAATGTCTTTATATAAGAGCTTTTCCTAACCTATCCTATTAAAAACAGCAATCCTTCTACAAGCATACCTTATATATTTATCTATGCTTTATTTTTCTACATACCATGTAGTACTACCTAAATTTCTGTAAACTCACTTATTTTCTTTTCCATGAGATCAGGAGATCGGAATTTTTTTCTTTACTATTTTCAGTTTCTATAACAATATCTGCCATACTGTATACCCTGAAACACTTATTTATTGAAAAAAATGAATAACCTCAGATTATTTCATTAACCCATAGGTTCCTTATAAAGGTTTAAAACTTTATTTGCTTTTCCCAAAATAGTTTGGAGATTCTAGTTTGTAGTTTACCTGAGCAGTGTCTATTCATTTTTCTGCCACATGACTAAACACGATGGGGTACAAAACAAAAACAAAAACCCAGGAATTGCACTGGACAGAGCAGAGTATATGCATTTTCCCCGCTAGGTGAGCAACAAGCAACTTGCTCTGAGTTAATGCACCCAATAGTGTTTTTTGGTAAGGTTCTCTAAGATCACAGTGAATTTTTTTTTTGGTAAAAGCAGTGTCACTGGAACCTCGTTTTTTGTGATGACCAATTTAAGAAAGCAGCAAGCTGCTGTGAAATTTTGTTTGCTGCTCGGGGAAACTGCTGCAAAAAGTGTTATGTTGAACACAGCTTACAAGACCAGCGCTATGTATGAGTAGTTATCTATTTCAGAAAAGATGAAATGACGACTGATGCGAACCTCGTTCTGGACGTTCGTCAACTTACCGAATGGATGAAAACGTCGATGACCTATAGTGTATTTGGAGTTCATTCCACCAGGTCAGACTGTTAATCAAGCTTTCTACAACATTGTGTGACAAAAAAGACCTGATTTGTGGCAGACAGGGGACTGGTTTTGCCACCACGATAAGACAACTGCTCACACAGTCATCTCAGTGCCCGTTTTGGGGGATGAAACAGCATACCTCTCTTGCCCCAGACACCTTACTCACCTGACCTTGCTCTATGTGACTTTCGGTTTCCACAAATGCAGAGGGACATGAAAGGACAGCAATTTGATAACACATAAGAGGTAAAGATAAAAATAAGGGCGGTGCTGTCAGTCATCCAAACAGATGGGTTTGAAAAATGTTTCCAAGAATGGAATTGCAGATTTGACAAATGTATTAAGTGTAATGGGGAGTACTTGAAAGGTAATATGGTTGCTTTGTAAAAAAAAAATTAAATATATAGCTTGGGGGGAAAAATTTCCTGGCCCACCCTCCTCGGGGTACCCCTTCGTATTGTTTAATTAAGAAAGTAAACAGAAATAAAGCATGTATAAAAAAAGCAACAATGTGACTCTATTTACCTGTTCTATTGCACTCTTTAGTTTATTCATGTGGCTTTCAAAAAGTGGAAAATGTGAAAAAAATAATTCATGAAATTTGCTATTTTCATCTTCATCTTTGGATAAGGAAAAGATTACTCCAATTGCAATCTTCTTTTTTCTCACAATTCCCGGGCTAGGGCCACAGCTCTCATCTGATAGGTTAAAGCTTTCTTCTATGGACCTTAAAAATAATTGTTAGCACAATTAACGGTAATTCAATCTTCTTGCTAAGCTAAAGGTCTACAGCTATTTTATCAAATAAATCTCAAAGTTTTTAATTGCATACCTTTTTAGAAAATATATTTACCATTTCTTCATGCTCATATATTAATCTATTTTACTAGAGTCACACTGGAAACACTAAAACACTAGATAATCCAAAATCATAATTAGCTTAAAAAATTCTAAATGTCAAAGTTTGTAAATATAATTTTGTTACTGATCTCAGATCTTTGCATCTCTTCTTTTGATTAAAGAAATAAAGTCAAATATGAGAGAGGGCAGGGGGCGAGAGAGAGAATGTATAAGCTTTTCAGTTTCAGGCTGAAAATGGAAAGTTAAAAAAAAAAGTCCAGCCTCTAAAAACACATACAAAATTATGTTATAAGAACAACATAAGACCTTGAAGCTAAACCCCAAACGATTAGGGCCATCAATGAGGGCATTGGGACCAACTTGAGAACTTTGGCACAGGGAATACATAGGCTATCAGAAATAGGAAAGGACACAAA